AGTTAGTGTGCAAAACCCCTATGCCAAAAAAGAATAACCAGAAACTACTGTTTCTGCTTTTCTACAGGTGTTCATATTTGATGATCAGTTAAATAGCATTTAATTAGCATAAGCTAATAAACCAATTAGTTTCTATGAAAGCAGTAAGAGCTGTCCTAATTTTTCACAGGCTACATCTTAACTTTGACCTAGTTTTTGTTAAATAAATGATCACTCAGTGTAATATATGACTCACAACTTCATCATCTACTAGTGATGTACTTTATTTCAACAATTTCCTGCGGGATCAATAAAGTTCTATCTTATCTTATTTTTCAAATACAATTAGCCCTTTGTCACCAGAGTCAGTCACGTTACAAAACTGCCATTTAATGTTCAATCATTCCTTCAGAAATGTTGCTTTGGACATTTAGTGCACACATATATGTAAACCAGTAAGATGGAGGCAGAGATCATCAACAGTTATCCCTTTAATTGGCTGGTGAAGTTAATTTAATATGCGATAGGCTAAAAATATACAGCTTCATTTGTAAAATGTTTACTGTTTGTGAATTCTCAATGACAAAATTGATCTCATTCTTGTCCCTCATAACATGCATCAAAAATTAACCTGATGTTCCACTTCCCCCATACTGCATGTGGCCACCTCATTGTTCCGGTTTCTTAGTCATGGCCAGTACACACACATGTGCACTCAGGACTCTTTCCCACTTCCTTAAATCTGTTCCTCAACAGAAAGACATTAGTGACATTACTTTATCTCTTATATGGGCGAATGACTTTATTGCGTTTGTCCTTTAAAATCTGTATTAATCTAAAAGCAATCCAGCTTCCTCTACTCTGCAAAAGTTTAGAATATTGGTTACTTAAATTTTTATTAGAGAACATAATATGTAGGGTAAAAAAAAATGTTTTTTTTCAAGTGGTTGTTGGATGGAGCAGGAGGCCTGACCCAGACCTCACTTATGGTCATGAGGTTTGACCCATGACCAAATGTTTCTAGATTCAAACAGCTGAAATGAGCATTCTGCATTGAGGGCTTTGCCTTTCATAAGGTGATAAAATGAAGAGCTCCTTCATCTAGGAGGAGCTCGAGCCGAGTCCATCCATCCATCCATTATTTTTTACCCACTTCTTCCATTTTGGGTCATGGGGGTCGCCGGTGCCCATGTCCAGCAATCACTGTGCAAGGGGCGAGGTACACCCTGGACAGGTCTCCAGTGCATCACAGGGACACATAGAGACAATCAAGACAAACAACCATTCACTCTCTCGCTCACACCTAGGGACAATTTAGAGTTACCAATCAGCCTAACATGCATGTTTTTGGTCTGTGGGAGGAAACCAAAGTACCCGGAGGAAACCGGAGTACCCGGAGAAAACCTACGCATGCACAGAGAGAACAAGCAAACTCCACCCAGAAAGGCCCCCGGACTCGAGCCGAGTCACTTCTCCTTATTGTAGGGATGGTATCCCTCTGTCAGTCTCCCTGTATCTGTACTCTCGTGTCTCTCCTTAATTACCCTGATCAGTTCCACCCGTATGTCCTCCAGGTGTTTGTAATCATGTCTTGTCTAGTCTGTGTCTATAAACCCCGTGTCTGTGTCTCTGTCATTGTCGGTCCATCATATGGTATCCTCCTGTGTTCCCCGAGATTTCCAGGTCTTGGTCTTGTAAGTTTATGCTGCCACGTCAGCTTATTTATTTATCATTATTATTAAAGCATTTCTTATTTTACACCCTGCCTTTGAGTCCTGCATGCAACAATGGGTTCTTTCCTGCTTTGCCCGCCTGAAACTCCTGACAATATGGATCGACCAAACCAGAACCCAGCAGGCAGGCCCTCACTCAGCTACTCAGGATGGACGTCAGGAGAGGATGCAGAACTGGAGGACGAGCTTTGTTCCATTCCTGCCCCTCATGCTCACCGTCGCCGCCGGAGCGGCAGTAAACAAACCCGGAAGCAGTCCATGGCACTTCCTCCGGCAAAATCAGCAGATTCGACTCGGCCGGCGGAGCCGAGTTTCCTGGATGCAGTCCCAGCGCTTAAGTGGGGACAGGTCCCATTGCCTCAACTCTCAGGGTTCTGGTAAGGGCGGAATCCGACATCTCACTGTCACTCAGAGCTGCTCCTGCTCAGTCCGGCGAGACTAAGCCTCATGAGCCCAGTCCCGGTGTCTCCGCGGGGGCGGGTCCTGTTGCCTCACTTCTCAGGGTTTCGTGAGGGCGTAACTCAACACCTCACCCCCTCATAGAGCTTCTCTAAAGATTGGATCCAAAACACCTCAGCTCCAACCCAATGACCTCATCCAAATAAACCGGACTTTACAAAATCTACTTTCCTCTGCTACACACAACCCAGACTACCTAGACACTATACTCTCCCTTGCAGAGAAACTATTATTATCCTTACCTGGTCTAATACAACTCACAGAATATCATTAGCTTTTGATTGAAATAATAACTATGAAAACAGAGTCTGACTCCCCTGCTGCAGAACCAGTGCCTGACTCCCTGGCTGCAGAACCAGTCCTTGACTCCTCAGCTGCAGAACCAGTCCCTAACTCCCTGGCTGCAGAACCAATTTCTGAAGGAGGGATTGAGCCCACAGAGGAGCTCTGGCCTGCTCCTGGCCCCGAACCGCACTGTCGTCACCACAGGAGAGGTCGACGGCAAAAAGGGTCCAGAGCCTAGGCCCCAGTGCTTGACCCGGTCCCTCAGCCTGACTCATCTCCTTGTGTCTCCCTGAGCACTGGTCCCGATGCCCCGCTTCTGAGTGTCTCCATGGGGGTTGGATCAGAAGACCCACCATTTTCCCCTTTTGGTGGGAACTGGCCCCAATGCCCCGCTTCTGAGTGTCTCCGTGGAGATCGGACCAGAGGCCTCACCGCCTTCAGGTGTCTTGGTGGGGGTCCAGGCAGACTCACCTTCCTGTTCAGCTGTGGGAGTCCAGGCAGGCTTCTTTTCCTCCTGTCTGGCCGAGGGTATCTGGACGAGTTTTTTTTCCATCACCACCTGCTGCACGTTCCAGGGCAGCTGCACTCCCAGAGGGTTCCAGGGCAGCTGCACTCTCAGAGGGCCCCATGCAGCCTGTATCACCTGAGGTCTCTATGCTGCCTCCTCATGAGGTTCCTGGGCCTGCTGAGAATTCCATGTCTCCAGAAGGCCCCACACCAGCTGCAGTTCCAGAGGGTCCTATGCTAGCTGCATCTCCAGAGGATCATGTGCCAGCTGCATGCCTGGGTCTACGCCGCTCGAGGGTTCCACGCCGCTCGAGGTCGTCATGTCCAGCACATCTTGGGTCTTCACCTCACCTTGGGTCTTCACCTCACCTTGGGTCCACGTCTCGCCTTGGGTCCACGTCTCGTCTTGGGTCCACATCTCGTCTTGGGTCCATGTCTTGCCTTGGGTCCTCGCTTTGCCTGGGTCCACACCACTTGAGGTCTCCACGCCGATTTAAGTCTCCATGTCCGGCACGTCTTGAGTCTACATCTCGCCTCCACGACTCATCCAGGCTCCATGCCTCAGCCTTTGGACCTTATGTGAGAATTCCAGAGTTCCACATTCCAGAGTTCCATGTTCCAGTGTTCCACGTCTGCTCTTGATCCTGCCGCTGAAGATCCTACTGCTGAAGATCCTGCCACTGAAGAACCTTTCGCAGAAGAATCGGAGACTGCTACAGACCCCATGTATTCTTCTACTCCTCGCTCCTCGTACTGGGCACTCATGGGTCCTTAGGGTGTCTGTCACCATCAGTCGCCCACCTGACCTTCTCCGGCCCATTGGATGGCCTCCTCGTCGCCCACCTGACCTGTTCCAGCCTGTTGGACGGCCTCCTCAGTGCCTACCTGACAGGATGGTCACCTGTCAGCCCTGATCTGCCTGTTTTCAGTCTGTGAGTAGCTGCCCTGTCAGTGTTTTGATTTTGTTTTGTTTAATAAATATTTTTACTATTTTGCTAGCGTCCTTGTCATCCTCCTGCATGTGGGTTCAACACTCCTGACGGCTGAACATGATAGAATTCTGAGACCAAACTGAACCCAGCAGGAAGATGATTACCTTGCTCGAATTTTTGGCCCGTGAGGCGGACAAGACTGCCCAGAAAGACAGGGAAAGGGAGGAGAGGAAGAATCCATTTTGGGGAAACCATCTGGCTATCAAGCCTGGGTCCTCAGCCTCTCCGTCCCTCTCTGCCTCGTCCCGCCGCTGCACCCCGCTGCTCACCTCCTCCTCATTCGCCTCTTGGCTGTCCCAGACGATTGTCTGAGAGAGGGGGGCAAACTGCTGGTTGTCTCCGAGTCCAGTTCAGGGAGGAGAGAGCTTCACAGGTGAGGGGGCAGCCCAGCCCTCGATTGTCGGTGAAACGGTGGAAAATTTTGCTGGGGGAGAGGTACCCGTGCCCCCACTTGCCGGAGGAGCAGTCCAGCCTTCCCTTGCTGGAGAAGCTGGAACGGTGGCAGGCTTCTGTGTTGGCAATGTACTTGGATCCACTTCTGCCCCGCTGCGAGGAGACCCAGGTGGACGCTCCTCACTCCAGTCCTACTGAGGGGTTAATGGCTCCTCCACCACCAGTTGCAACCCAGACTCCTCCACCACCTGCTGCAGCTCTGGCTCCTGGTTCACCTGCTGCAGCTCTGGCTCCTGGTTCGCCTGCTGCAGCTCTAGCTCCTGGTTGACTTGCTGCAGCTCTGGCTCCTGTCCCCAACTCCCAAGCTGCAGCTCTGGCTCCTGTCCCCGATTCCCCAGATGCAGCTCTGGCTCCTGTCCCCGATTCCACAGCTGCAGCTCTGGTCCCTGGTTCTCCGGCTGTAGCCATGGACCTGTCTCCTGATGCAGCCCCATTCCCTGGTTCTCTGGCTGCCGCCCTGTCTCCACCAACTGCTGCTGCTGCAGTCCTGACTCCTCCACCTGCTGCAGATCTGATCCCCGGCTCATCTGCGAAATTTCTCATCCCTGGCTAAACTGAGGCTCCCGGCTTGGCTGCGGTCCTCGCACCTGTTTCAACGGCTGAGGTCTTCGCTTTCAGCCCGCCTGAGGTCTTCACTCCTGGCTCGACCACAGAAGATCCTGGCCCACTTGAGGTCTTTGCTCCTGGCTTGACCGCAGATGATCCTGGTCCACTTGAGGTCTTTGCTCCTGGCTTGACCGCAGATGATCCCGGCCCGCCTGAGGTCCTCGCTCCTGGCTCGTCTAAGGTCTTCGCTCCCGGCCCGATCACAGAAGATCCCGGTCCGCCTGAGTTCTTCGTCCCTGGCCCATCTGTAAAGGTCTTCATCCCTGGCCCATCTGCAGAGGTCTTCGTCCCTGGCCCGTCTACAGAGGTCCTCACCCCTGGTTCGACCCCTGATCTGCACAAAGAGGTCCTCGCCCCTGGTTCGACCCCTGGTCTGCCTGAAGAGGTCCTCGCCCCTGGTTCGACTCCTGGTCTATCCCAAGAGGTCATCACCCCTGGTCCGCCCCCAGAGGTCCTCGCTTGCTTGAGTCCAGGAGGGCATAGACAGATGCCTGTAGATGGACAGTCTGCTGGCCGCCCGCCGAAGCTCTGGCCTGAAGGTGGATGGTTTCCAGGCCGCCCCCTGATCCCCTGCCTCATTGGGGATGGTCACCTGGTCACCCTCCTGAATACTGGTCCTGCCCTGACCAACCACCTTGACCCTGGTTGAGGTTCCTGGATTTGGTTTTGTGTGTAGTTACCCAGGTTTACCTGTCGGGTTTTTTGTTCTTTTGTTCCTCTGTGTTTCTCTGTCTTGGTTTGTCCGCCTCCCACCCAAGTTGGATGTAGCTTGTCCTTGGGATGTCAGGAGCCATTCCTTGAGTGGGGGATACTGTAGGGTTTTTGTCCTGTCTCTGTTTGTTTCGTGCTCGGCTCTGTGTTTTCCCTCCTTGTGTTTAGCCCGTGTCTCATGTTAATCACTGCAGGTGTCTGTCGTCCCAGTCAGTGTCTGTGTACATATTCAGTTCCTCTGCATCTTGTCTTTGTCTTGGAATTGTCCTCCCATGGTGTCGTGTTAAGCCTTTTGTCCTGTCAGCCCTGATCTGTTTGTTTTCAGTCTGTGAGTAGCTGCCCTGTCAGCGTTTTGATTTTGTTTTGTTTAAAATATTTGTACTATTCCGCAAGCGTCCTTGTCATCCTCTTGCACGTGGGTTCAACACTCCTGACGGCTTAATGATAATTTATACTGCATGTTCTGTCTGAAACAGTCTATGAGTTGCAGAGGCTCAATGAGACTAGCCTGTATAAATAAAGGTTGAATGAATACTTTTGGAATTTTGATGAAGGATTTTAATTCAACCAGATTATCAGGTTATTTCTACAACTGCAGGTAGAAAACGTTTTATGAAGTTGCAACATCTTAAAATGTTCATCCACACCCAAAAATGTCATCACCTTATGGGCGGCTGTGGCTGAGTGGTTAGAGCAGTCGTCCTCCAATGCAAGAGTTGGGGGTTAAAATTCACCAGCAGTCACATGCCGAAGTGTCCCTGGGCAAGACAATGAACCCCTCATTGCCTTCGACGTGTGTCCCATCAGTGTATGAATGTGATAAAGCTCTGACTAGTCTCTTTAGAATGATTTGTTCAATTATCTTTGTAGAGATCTAGTAGAGTGCTGTATGAATGGGTAAATGAAGACACATTTTGTAGTGTAAAGCGCCTTGATAAAATAGAAAGGCGCTATGCAAGTACAGTCCATTTACCTAATTGACAGCCCCTTACTGGATCATGGCTGGAATGTGTAGCCAAATGTCGCTCCATCTTTCCAGGACCTCAGAGGCTGATTGGGCCTCTAACTATCCACGTAAAAGGCAGGATATGGCTCAGGGATCCTTGTTGAATCGTGCCAGTCACTTGTCCAAGGTGACCAAAGATGAGACCTTAAGGGTCTGTTAGATAATCTAATTATCCTATCAACTCATTAAATAATTAAACCACGCAAGGAAACTAGATCTTCATCAACCTAGGTTTAATCTTGCAAGAGGAGCAGCGTTGAAATACAAACATCAAAATGTTAAGTGGCGCTTCTTCTCCAAGGTCTGTTCACAGGAAGTATAAGGGAGTGTTCAAAAATGTTCAAGACAGACTATTTGTAACAGAAGACGTTTCGCTCTTCATCCAAGGAGCTTTCTCAATTCAAAGAGCAGAGCATGTGGGATTCAGATTATAAAGCCGTCTTCTGCAAAGCTCGTCTTCTGTTACAAATAAAGTCCAGTTGTTTTGTCTTGAACGTTTTTGAATTTATCATGTCCTGGATGATTGAGAAACTTCACCAGTATAATGGAGAGTCTTTTTATATCGGACAGAGGCGAGGTCAAGACCACTCTGCTTTCCAGCTTAGGGCCTTGAAGTTTATCAGGTGCGCAGGCTCTGTGCTCTTGCAGGCTCCACTTTGCAAAGACAAAACAACTGACACACACACATGGTTCTATAACATTTTGGCATTAGTAAGTGAAAAACATCCATGACCTTTACATCCCCCATCAGGTCGGCACCAAGGCAGTTGATGAGAAGAGTCAGCAAGCAACAGGAAGTAAATTTCAAAGCCTTGAGAGTGAAAATGGTTTTATCTTCTGTAAGTATCTTTTTTTCTGACTGGATTCAAACCAAAATTGTTTAAAAGCAAAATCTTTTTTTTAAATTTGTTGTTGTCTCCCCCCCCAGATGTAAACGAAGACGAGACATGACAGAGTAGTGGTAGACAAACAACTGAATACTAGCTGGTGATGAAAACCTCATGGAGGCTTCACGTTCCAGCAGGTTATCAGGCACCAAGGATTGTTTTGTAACGTTCAGACTCTCTGAAGCAACAAGTTTCTTCTCCGTTTAAAAACTTTACACACAGTTGGTATGTCTTAACTGAGTTTCTTCTGTAAAACAAATTGTTAAAACATATTAGGACATTTCAATTTCATAAAAACAAAACAATAATAATTAACATTATTCATGCTTTAAACATCATAATCAAATAAACTTGTTTTTTTATTCTTTTCAAAACCTATTGAAATGCCTAAACATTTATTTATTTGAGCTGAATAATCATTGGCAGCACGGTGGCGCAACTGGTAGAGCTGCTGCCTTTCAGTGAGCAGGTCCCTGGTTCAAATCCTGGTCCGGGGGTCTTTCTGGGTGGAGTTTGCATGGTCTCTCTGTGCATGCATGGGTTTTCTCCGGGTACTCCAGTTTCCCCCCACAGATCAAAAACATGCATGTTAGACTGATTGGTAACTCTAAATTGTCCCTAGGTGAGAGTGAATGGTTGTTTGTCTCGTCAGGGTGTACCCCGCCCCTCGCACAGTGATTGCCGGACATGGGCACCGGCGACCCTCGTGACCCTAAATGGAAAAAGCTTGTTAAAGATAATGGATGAACAATCATTTTAAGACAGTAAAGGAGCAGAAAATAATCAGACATTATTCAGGTTAAAAGGAAATTTAAAGAAACCAGTTCATGGTGGTTTGGAGAGTCGACCTCATGGTTAAGAAAGTCATTCTTTCATTTCAAGTCATTGTGGTTGTGTGGCAGTTGGTGGTGTATGGCGGCGATCAGTGGCGTGGCCTCACTTTGAAGGGGCGCTGGTTGGTCGGCCTGGTGTGGCATTCACGGTGGGGGTGTGCTGTGTGTGTGTGTGTGTGTGGGGGGGGGGGGGGGGGGGGGGGGCGGCGGGGGCGGGCGGGGGGGGGGGGGGGGGGGGGGCGACGTGCCTGGGCATCTCCGGGTCTGTGGTGTGAGGTTGGTGGTGTGCCTGGTCCTTGGTGCGCTGGGCCGGCCTTCCTCTGCTGCTTCTCCCTGCTGCTCTGGCCCCCGGCCTGCAGTCGCTGTTGGGTGGGGCGCATGGACGGACCAACAGAGGCTCTGTCGGGCTATCTGTGTGTGCCTGTTTATGTGTCAGGTTGGGTTTTGTGTGGTCCCCTCTCCTGGATCATTTTGGGCCCCCCATTTAATGTGGGGTCTACTTCCCCCTGTTGCACTCCCTTCCGGTGGCGGGCCCCCCTGCCGCCGGCTTGTTGGTGGCTTTCGGCATCTGGGGCTGGGTGCTTGGGTTTGTGCCGGTCCACCCACCAGGCCCCACCTGTCGGGCCTCTGTTGGGGGGGTTGGTAAAACCTCGAGGTTCGGGTCTCGGTGTCTACGGCCAGATCTGTTCAAGTGTAACGGTTTGCCGGCGGGGCCTATGCGCTCACTGCTGCAGCCTCCTGGGGCTCCTGCATTGTGGCTGCTGGGGGTCGCCCGAGGCTCTCCTCTGTTTCTCTCTGGGGGTGAGGGGGGTGTGCGGTTGTCCCTGTTGGGGGACTCCTGGGGCTCCTGGCTTGGTGGCCGCTGGGTGTCTGTGGCTCCGGTCTTCCCTGTGTCGTC